AAGGTCTTTCAAGCAAGGATTCAAGATTGATTACAATAACAATCTTAAAGGTATGTATTATACCCCTATTATGTGATTTTCGTTATACTATAGAGACCTAGGTTTTGCAGTTTGTTGTTCATTATTGTATGTTCAATTAGAGAAAACGTAGATCTTCAGTAAGGGTTGCATGCACACATATGATTGTATGTTCTGCTCAAATCCCATCAGCCACGTGTCACATTCTGGGTGGAGTGTCAGTGTGCTCGACACACTTTTTCGTTGCGCGCGGGTGCACACAAAGAATTTATGTTCCCTAGAAAACTCATATCTTATTCATACGATCTCCGCTTTCGACAGGTTTTATATTCACGTGTAGCTATCGACCAGATTTACAACTTTCATTTAGACTCCGTCGTCTAATTTTGAATTTATTTTTAAACTTATATTTTTAACAGGCTTAGATTGTTAAAGTCCGTTAAAAATTCATAACTCTCTTATGAAATTTGTTCTCTACTGTCTTTATATCGACGAATAGGTATTAACGAGATGTTTAACTCTCATTTAGATTGTTTTTCCTAACAATCAACCGATAGCAATTTCGGTTTCCAAGTCGTATGCTGCTACGCTGAAATATCAGAAAAATTATAACTTCCTCTCACGAAGTCAAATTTATGGGTTTTTTATATGTACGAAATCCTTGTCACATATACTATAACTCTAGTTAAGATTATTTATCATAATTAACCTTCTATCAAAAAGTAAAATTTTAATTCTTATAAGACTTAAATTGACTAGCCCAAATATGTGGGTGTTATAATAAAGCCTCCACCTTTATCATTCTTGATTTTCATTTCATGCCTTGAAGTCCTTTGATGGAATGTTCTTGGATTTTTGGGAAACTTGAGAAGCTTAGACTTGCTTGGTGACCATTTCTAGACTTAATTTGGTGGAAAAAGTGTTAGGTCATGATTCCCTTGTTCCATGCACAAGTTTTGGTCATATTAAGGACTTAATGGACTTAGAGTTGTAGATCTTTCTTAGGGATGAGTTTCTAACGGGTAAAGTAGGAAAATTTATCTATTAAGTCATTAAAAAGGACTAGATTTAAAGTTATGGGCTTAGATCTATAAGATCTCTTAATGAAGAAAATTGCAATCTGCCAGTAACCACGGTGTGGCTAAGGAAGGAACACGACGTGGCGGCATCCTACACGTTGATTGTTTTGTCTTAACGTGCCCACAACATAGCCAAGAGGTCTTCACGTCGTGGTAACCGTTGGCTGTGTTGACCATTGATGTTTATTGACCGTTGACCGTGGAATTTTGAGGAGTTTGAAATTGGGTCAAAATTTAAGGATTTGAGCTGTTTTCTGAGATTTGATATTTGTTTGGTGTTAGTCGATTTGTGGTGCTATCAGTTCAAGGACTTGAGTGTGTTGCTGTGCTTCTCTGGTTCTTCGATTCATGTGAGTTTCTCACTATGTCACGTATCCCATTGTATATTCTTTGCATTGTAGGATAAATGTACTATTATAGTACAAGTATGCTAGTTGACTGGTATAACTCCTTGTTATGCATATGAAGTTAAGGAAACTTGGTGTCATGCTATGCTAGACCGGTAGGGTCTTGCATGTTGATTGTATATTACTATTGGTTTGAGAAGTATAGGACATTTAGTGTCATGTTATGCTAGACTGGTAAGGACTTGCCTGTGGACGTTATGATATTATTAGGTTTCGTGGTTGGTTAGGGTAATGCTTGTAATGGTTGTAGGTGGTTAAGTTTGATAGCCTGAGAACTCTTGGTCTAAAGCCTTATTGCATGTGTGATCTTGTCCCTTCTATCCCATCCATGCACGAGTTGTGATGCCTTATTGGGTTAAGAACATAGGGTTTTGGACATTAAGCACCTTATACCCATGCAAAGTTATAAAGTTGGAAACTAGATGACTTAGGACATCGTTTTGGGATTGGATCTGAGTTTTAGACGTAAGGGCTTAATGGAATAAGCTATTAATGGAGTTTTGGAACTGGGTTACATACGCTGGGAATATCTGGCGGTACGCTGCGTGTACCCGATCAGCGCCCCGCTTTTGGTCAACATCAGAGTACGTTGGGCATACTCTCTAGGTACGCAGGGCGTACTCCGCTGGGAAGAAATATTGACTTTTGGACCTTGACCGTTGACTTTGACTTTAACCAAGGTTGACCAAGTTAGACCTAAGGGCATTTTGGGTAATTTGATTTATAGTTTGAGATTTGGGTTCCTGTTAAGTGTATAGGTAACCGGTAGAGATAGCTTTTAGAGCAGTGATGGGTGCAACTATTCTTTCAGACTGTAAGGTGAGTTTTCTCACTATATCCATGGGGCGACCCAACAATACCGAACCGTTACTTGTTACGTGGAATGCTAGTTGTCTCTGTGATGCTTGCATGAAAGACTAGGATCTGGCCCCTGGCAATTATACGAAAGACCAGGATCTGGCCCATGGCACCTATATGTAAGATCCGGATTTAGCCATCGGCCCTAAAAAGAAAGACCATAGGGGTAGCCCTTGACACTTGTATGTTTTGATATGTGGTATTTTGGGGAACTCGCTAAGCTTTGTGCTTACGGTTTCAGGTACTTCTGGTTCAAAAGGGAAGGACCCGACGTGACTGCACAACATCCCCCAGAGTTTTCTACATTGGAAATTAATGATATTAATCTAATGTTTAAATTATATATTCACTTTGATTGGTTTTGGAACAACTCGTTGTATGTTTATTGTTTTAAAAACGAAAATTTTACCTTAGATTTTCGGGACGTTACAGCTGACAGATCCGTTTACCCAGCTTGGGCAGAGTGTGATACGGTATAATTTTGTTTGGATTACATTACCTGAGTATTTATATATTAATTAATTGTTTCAAACATTTTTTTAGCTTTACATTTCAATCAATATACTACATACTCGTTGGTTTTGCGGTGCTATGGGTTTGAAGACATTCCAAAAGACTATATATGATAGTCATTGGAAGAGCGACTACCGTTTGGAAAATGAGGATTGTTTTATAGGTATGAGAGCTCGCATCCACAAACTGCTAGTGTGAGTCAACTACTAGAGTACCGAACCAACTGATTTAATCTCATTCGAGAGATTCAAGATGACCCTGAAAAAGGCCCCAAACTTACCACAACGGATTAGCTGCAGGGAGATTGTGGCGTATTTTTGTGTTGGTTTCTGGAGGCGTGGATCACCGGGAAATCAATTTCTATAGAGGATAAAACCACTAGTCCATGGGTTATGGGTTATAGAAAACGACTAGCTGAAATATTTTAGGGTACAAGGACCAAGATAATTTAAACATTGTATTTGTAATATAACCTACACACATTCTTTATTTAATTTTTGTATTGATTAGGTGTTTGTTCATTTTAATTGCATTTTACATTTTATAAAACCAAAACTTATACATTTTATTAAATTTATACATTATACTTCGGAACCATGTATTACACATGTATTCCAGAACGATGTATTACATTTTATGAAAGCAAAATTTACATGCAAAAAGAAAAAAAAAGTCAAATGTATTCCGGAACCATGGTCCGGAATCGTATTCTGGAATTCCGGAGACCTTTCTCGAACAATGTGTTCCGGAGAATGTGGTTACTTTACAAAAAAAAATGAAATAAATTGGTTATTTTTGTCGAAAATGTATTTTATAGTGGCTAGATTACTTAATTTCCCTTTATATATATATATATATATATATATATATATATATATATATATATATATATATATTACTTTTTGCCTATTATACAGTTTAAAACATAAACAATACATTTTGGATGTATAAATATGTATTTTTATGTATTTAGAAGTATAAATATATTTTTTAGAAATATTAGTATGTTTCTTTTTGTATTATAAATATGTATTTTTACATACTTAGAATTATATCAATAAAAAAATATGTTTTTATGATAATTATTTATACTTCTAAAAATGTAAAAATATACATTGATATTTTTAAATGTGTAAAACTACATATTTATATATTTAAATATATAAAAAAAGATATATATATATATATATATATATATATATATATATATATATATATATATATATATATATATATACTTTGGAAAAACTAAAAAAATACATACTTATAATTCTTAAAAAAATACAAAAATACTCCGTGCTTTTAAAAAATACGTAAAATGGAACTTTTAAAAATGTATTTATAATTCCAAAAATATATTTTTACGAATACGTATAATATATAAAGTAATACTCCAATTAAAATATAAAAAATTGTAAATTTAAGGCTTTTCTTTTACTATTTTTATTTCTTGGTAACTCCTAAAATAGGTGATAACAAGAATAATTTTTTTTAAAAAAAAAATTTATATAGTTTGCTTTTAACATATAAAAAAATATATTAGAGTAAAATCATTATTTTAAAAAAATATTAAAGATTTTTATGTAAATGTCCAATCGAACCAAAATATGTACGGAATTTGCTTTGACCCTTATAATCATCGGCTATTGTATCTCTTATGTAAATAGAAAAATCATAAGATATTCATAGATTTCTGTAATGATAGATTTATATACTTAAGTTTCTAACTACTTCGTCAACTTTAAATTAATTGGAACTTTTCAAATATATAATTGGAAATCAATGAATTTTATAATTTGGATTACAGTCAAACATTCAACATTGTTGCAGGACCAAATAACCTTCTCTCTCTTAAAATTCTGCCGGTTGTCTCTCTCTCTCTCTAGATTTCTTTCTCAAGCAGTTGACATTGAAGAGCCGATCAAAAATAGTCATTGGCGTGCCTCTCACTTCTCCATTTCTGTTTCCTATCCTTTTACACATCCAAACCTTCCCACCGCTTTGTCTTTCTCCTCCATGCAAAACACACACATATGTGTATATATATACCCTCCTTGTTCTATAGAACTTATTTTCACCATCTTCGCCAAAACCCTAAGCAAGAAACTTTCAAAAAGACCCTCTCATGGCAACCCTTTCTTCTTTCAAAGCAACACGCCTATCATGGAAGCTCTTCTTCCTTTTTCTTTGCTTCACAATCCTCCTGGTTGGCCCAAGCTCTGCGACCAGCCGCGGGAAAACGATAATGCAACCGGAGCATCACCGGAAAAAGTATGATGTAGGTTCAAAGAATCCCGGCTTGCTTTTCAGTATGCTACCAAAAGGGAAACCTGTCCCTCCTTCTGGTCCTTCAAAACGGCACAACTCAGTGGTCAATTCTACACCAAATAATTGATCTTTTTCACATAATACTCATCTTTTGGTATTTTCTTCAAGTGTTTCATCTTCCTTTTTTTTTTTTTTTTTTGCTTGGAAAAGTTCCTGGAGTTTTGCTGATGAAGGGATCATAGGGTTAAGATTAAGGATCATGCTCATCAAGAGATCATCTTTCTGAGTTAAGGATTCATTGGATGCATATATACATATATTGATACTGTATAGGAAAAGATTTTTTTTGTTGAATTAGAAATAAAATTCGTTATCTGAAACATGATTTGAAGGTTAGCTTGATTATTTTGCAATGGATGTACATGTCAATTTATTGGTTTTCTGTATGTGTATTTCCACATTAACATACATTGCAGATTGTATTAATTGCGCTACTCGACTCTCTAGTCTCTGATGCATCAATCTTTATTTGTTTAAGAAAGACAATATATTGTTCTTGAGAAAATGATATTTGACTCTCTATTACTGTATAATTGTTTTTGACTTTGTAGCTTTCATAAAAAGTTAGGCAACTTTATTGTATTTTCCTGGAAATAGATGAATGCAAAGTGGAATTACGAACTGCTCCTATCCAAATAAAATACTAGTATTTTCGTTTTGGATCATTAAAATAAAGGTTAATCACTAATCATAAAAATGATCGAGCTTCTATCAGAAAATAATAATTTTTATATTTTTTTATAAAATAATCATTTATTTAGCAAAATTACTTCACAAAGTGATTTCTTGTCGTGATATGATGTTGTCATATTAAAAAAAAAAAAAAAAAAAAAAAAAAAAAAAAAAAAAAAAAGGATATGAAGATTTAAAAAGAAAAAGAAAAAAAAGTGACAAAAGTGGAAATATTTATAGAAGCAATTTCGCTTATTTTATGATAAAAAATATAACCACCCAATTTTCATATATGATTATATAATAAATAATCGTGCCAACATCTACCAGATCAATTCTAAACTTACTTATAGACTAAAGTACAGCGGAAGCAAAAATAAAATAAAATAAAATCTTCAGTTGAACAACTTCGGGTGTTACGTCTTTGCGGAATTCATCTGCCGTCTTCTGGATCAATCATTCTCCTTGGACTTTTCACTGTCACTTGCTAAATAGTTTCATGGGTTGCGCACATTTAAAGTTTCTAAATGGGTAAGCCTAGGGCCTAGTGAGTTCGTGTTGCACATACATGTCCATCACTTAAAAAAAACAAATAGTTTTATCATATATCTTCAATAAATAATACAACAAATATATCACCCGATGACCTAATTTAGGGGAACGATTAATTATCCAGAAAAAGAACCAAAAGTTCATTTCCCTTCTCCTTGAGACAACTCATCATCTATTGTACTCAAGTATTTTAAATATCCAAGCAAATGAGTATCACTCTCAATTCCTATCCCCGCCGATCACACACATCCGTCATGCTCACGGTGAATAAACACCCACCCGTTCCCGCTAAACATGTCATCCAAAAACACACCCAGTAGATAACAAATTCAAAATAACATTTTTACGCAATCATACTTATCATAAAACATACTGTCAATAAATAAATAAAAACCACATAATAAACGCATGACAAACATTTATGTGCGAGCAACCACAGAACACGAAAAACTCACCTCGTAACCGACAAATCCTAACCGAATCTTGTCATGCTACACGCACCTACATTCCACCAACAAGTTTTCTAAGGAAATAAATCCTAGAAAAACATCCTACGTGTTCATTTTGGTTCCATTATCCATGTGTCTCGTTCGGCCGATCAAAATAATCATCATTTACGTTAGTTAAAACGTACGTAATAGTTTTAGTACAAGTATTATCTTGTGTTGCATCAATATTTTCATATAAATAAAGTTTCATTCTTAAATATAACACTCATATATTAAAACAATTAAAACGTTGAAATAAAAAAAATGTTTGGTTTTAATAATAACAATAACTAGCTGCTTAGTAAAACTTGATGGACCATTTTTTGTCATTCGGACAATTTCTAAATGAATTTATAATTGTCAAAATGTTAATAGTTCAAGGACCATTTATGTAATTTCAGTTTTTAATTCAAAATAAAAAGAATGAAAACGTTGTTTGAAAACTTGGTCAAAACCAGAGGGGCTCTTTCTGTAAATTTGAATCCTTCACAAATAAAAAGTACTCAGTTGACTAGTGTTTTTGCTACCCACCCAAAACAAAACCTGAAATTCATTTCTTTCTTTACCCGACACTATTTTTCTGCCATTTTTAAACAATTTGAAGCTTTAAAATTTTAGTAAAATTAATTTGTAAAACCAGCATTAATCATCTCCACTTCTTACCAAATGTATTCATAAATTACTTTTCAGAAATACTCTTGAAAGAATATGAATTTAAGCTTTTTTCCAAAACTCAAATACTTCAAAATCTTCATCAATCAATCTCCTATTGGTCCGAACAGAGACATTAGATGGAACCAAAACACTTAATGCAGACGTACAACACTAATTAAAGGACTGTACCAGGCTAAAATCAAAGAATCATACCTTAATTTGCTAGAAAGCTCCGAAAATCTTCAAGAATTTATAACCCCGATTTCTCCCTTGATTCTCAACCTTTTATTGCAATTCCAATGGGGTTTTCATAGGGTTTTTCGATCTTTATATAATGGCTAAGATTTTAACTACTAAAACCCTTTCACATCCTCGAATTTACTACATCATTAAGGGTGGCGGTTTTGAGGGTTTAAAACTCATTATCTCTCTTAATCAAATTCATTAACACCTAATTAATTTATCTAATTACTGAAATTACAGCTTAATTAACTTAGATATATATATATATATATATATATATATATATATATATATATATATATATATATATTTGAGTTATCACAAACTTCCCCCCTTCGAAAAATTCCGTCCTCGGAATTTAAATTAAGTAAACAAATATGGATATTTGGTCTTCATATCGCATTCGCTTTCTAATGTTGCATTCGATCCCTTGGTATCTCCAATCAATAAGCCACCCCATGACTCGATCCTTAAGAAGGTCTAGTAGGTCAGAGACTCAACCTACCTTTACAAAACCGCACCATGTCTTTCCATGAGAATCCGTTCAATATTACTTTATCTCCACCTGAAGCACTTTTGGCTTCCTACGTTTAACCACCTAACCTTTTGGTTGTTCTTGTGCATCATCTAGTTATCAGTAATTTACTAAATTTTACCAGTAGTTTGTTGGACAAGATCGAGTCTAACCATTTGTTTCTCCCTTAAATCATACCAATATAGTGGTACACTTCATACCATACAACTTAACCAACCTTTCATCAAGTATATTTCACCGAATGACACAATTTAAGGGAACATTTTAGATATCCAGAGAAAGAACCAATGGTCCACTTCCCTTCCCACTTGGCACAACACATCCATTATGCTCAAGCATTTAAATATCCAAGGAAATGAGTTACATCTCAAATCCTATCCCCGTCGGTCACAACACACTCGTTATGTTCCCAACTATCATACACCCATGTCCCCACTAAATTCGTCATCATACACCAGTTAAACAAATCTAAAAACTTTCCACTTATCCTCTACGATGGATTCTTTCTGACTCTTCTTTGGTCCACCCAGTAAACTGACAGTTACATCAATTCTTATCATTTTGAATCTTACTTGATTCATTCCTTTACCTATGACTTAGTGCATAAGGAACAATACCTCACAATTACAGTCTCTTAGAATTCCCACTCATCTTGTTGCCTCATGTTCAGTCATATCTGGTCAAACATGAAATTGACACTCTTGTAGTCAGTAAAGATCTTACACCTTCTTTGACTCTTGGTAATCTATGCATATTTATATCGTCCCATCGTTCTTCATGACAGACAACACCGGTGCACCCCACGGTGATGTACTGTGTCAAATAAAAGCCTTATAAAGAATCTTGCAACTGCTATTAAATTCTTTCATCCTTATTGGTGTACTCTCTCACTATCACATTTCCTTGTTCCGGTCTCAATAATTCTTCCTCCAACTGCTTGATCGTCGTTCGAGGAAAAACATCTCTCTAAAGATTCTTTCAAGCTCATCCCATGACATCCTATTGGTTGTATCTGACACCCGAACTACTTTTACCCTCCCCCATCAGTATAAAGCCTCATTTTTAAACATCGTCACAACATAAACCACATTGTCCTTATTCGCCCACTTACTAGTATCAAATCTTTTCGTTATCCATGTTGATGATACGATAGGATGAATGTCCCCGTGACACGTTCGTGGGTTACAAGTCATGAACGTCTTGTAACAATTACCTCATCATTTGTCGATTACATCTATCCTTGATCGTAATGCAACACTAAGGTCAGGAATTGAAACTGACATACAATATCTATAACTTTCCTCTTCATCATCCATGTTATCACCGTTCACATTCTATAGTGCATCTTGGTACTGAACATTTACTTACGACAATGTATCTTGCATATCCTGAGCAATCTTGTTAATTAATTATTCTCGATAACCATATTTGTCGCACGACCTTGTCCGCTATCTCGACCCCGACCACGACCGCGATTGGATTTAGATCTGAGTTGCACCAATTGTGCTTATACCAGTGCTACGATGACTCCTAGACCTCTTCCCCTACCCCTACCTCCACCTCGACCCTGACCGCGCCAACAACTGGATGCAGGGTTTACGGGAGTCTCTAGTATTTCTCCGAGTGAAACAACTTCGGCTCCAACTAGAATGTTTTCCTGCTCTAGTGTTACCCTGATATCCTTGAGGACATGATGCCTACTAGTAAGATATGGTCTAAATTAGTTGCTAGGTTACTTCTCGCTCCTTTTGTCCAAGCTTAAGTGTTTACGAAAACACTTAATCTGATTAAACGTCGCTCTGATACCAACTTGTAACACCACAATTTTCATATATAGATTATATAATAAATAATCGTTCCAACATCTCCCAAGATCAATTCTAAACTTACTTATAGACTAAAGTACAGCGGAAGCAAAATAAAGTAAAATAAAATCTTCAGTTGAACAACTTCGGGTGTTATGTCTTTGCGGAATTCCTCTGCCGTCTTCTGGATCAATCCTTCTCCTTGGACTTTTCACTGCC